AAAAAAAAAAAAATAAAAAATAAAAATAAAAATAAACAAATACATCTCCCACATCATTTAAAGAAAAGAATTTCATTTTCTTTCCAAAAATTGAAGCCCGTCACATGTGCAGTAGTAATAATATCCATGTATACGGATTACTTTCTAAGGTCCGCGACTTTCTTCACCTTGATGTTCCAGTGCATCAAGTTCCGCCTGCAATCATTCATAAATCACGAAATCAGTACCCTACAATCTAACTGCAATGATTGTGGTGATTTCAAAAATAACTGTTGAAAATGACAGTGAGTATTTTCCTAATACGTGTCTCTAAAAAGTCTATAAAAAGTGGTCAACAATAAAACCCCAACTGAGCTCCAACACAAGAGAACTAGCCAGCCCGCGTAACCATTTTTAGAAAGAGGATTTGAATAAGCATACAGGGCATATGTCACAACAGAAAATATTCTTGATGTTTGTATCTCCGACTTCACTTCTTAAAAATGTGGTTTAATTAATTTATTTGATTCTAATTTCCAAAAAGCAATACCGCTGCTTCATCCATACGAGCTAAGATGTAATTAGCAGCAAGATCTTCATTTTTATCGCATGCAAAATACGCCTCGATAACCAATTGTTCCGGGAAACCCATGGATTTTAGCTGAAAAGAAAAAAAAAAACCAAACTATAATGGCTGCTAACGATTCGACGGGAGAACTGCTCTTAAGAAATTACTCAGAATTTAAACTTTTATTGAAGGATAAGTTATGAAACGAAATAAAAGGAATGCAGAAAATACCCGATTAATTGCATCTCGTTCAGCTTCAGTGACATGAATGGCAACTTGGCGCTGTTCTCCAGCAGAAGGTGATACACGACCACCACCACCGCCACCACTTCCAACAGAACCATTATTTAACAAATTGACGAACTCTTCCTGGAATAACATCTGGCAATGCCAATTTTGCATTACCAAAAAAGTTACTACATATAATAATTTTACAATACACACATTTGTCTAGCACATATGGCTAAGATTAGAGATAACTATTGAAATAGGGTGAAAGTTGCACCAAATAATGATCGCCGTAGCCCTTTAAGACATTCAATATTACTAGCTTGCAAATTACTCGATATGTCAATATTTTGCAATACATTCTGGCGGATTTCAGGGACGACTCTACCAGGAATATTTTCCACAAATAATAATAATATACAACGCTATAAAATGTATAATTGAACCGCTTATCAGGTGCAGATATATTTTTTTCGTCCCTAACATAAAGCAACTTTGCCATTAAAGAAATCTAAAGAAATAATTATCGCAGAATAAGCACTTGATTATTTTGAATGGCCTCCATGAGTGCTGGATTTGACTGAGCTATTTGTTGAATGATTTGGGGAAGAAGAGCAGGGTTCGACTGAACCAGTTCTCGAAGCTGCTCAAACTGTGGCAACTGACGCAAGAAATCAAGACCTAGACCTTGTCCTCGTTCTCCCTCCTCATGTTCGGCTGATTCTTGATGTCCTGTAGAAACGTGATTTTTATAAAATAGGTACGGACGAAGATGAAAAAGTGAAAAGAGTGTGCTACCATGTTTCTCACCACACTTTTCCGCCTTCATTCTAGTATAGTACTTTTGCAAGCCTTTATTAGCAGATAGCTTCCAATGACGGTAGTAAAAATAAAATATAGGAACATAGAGTTCCGACTTATATGTAACAGTAAATATTTAACTATTTAAGATAAACCAACCGACCTCCTAAATCTTCCTCCTCTGGTATACCTGAACACAAATATTCAACAGCACGATCACCATTGAAAAATGACGCTCGCAAAGCTCGAATCACCTAAATAATTAAGGATTCCACAGTGGATAATTCAGAAAAAATTTTCGTATTTTGAAAGTAACTAACTTTATCACGAGAATAACCCATTGCCACAATTGCCTGAGCTGTTTCTTCTTGTTCAGGAGTTAGACCATCTGAAATGCCTATAAACATTAATAACCTGATGCAAGATTGCAAGGCTTCAAACCAGCTGGCACGCAACATGATTCAAATTTAATATTAGCGACGACCGTCAGTGAGCCCTTTGTCACCAACTTTCATAAGGTAAACTATCAGCACTGATTCTGTAACCTCACTACGAAACCAAGAAAAAATTTAGCATTGGAAACAATGACAAACCACCTATACTCCAGTAAGTGTGTGGAGCTGCTGTTTATCCACCATCAATTGAACAAAGTGCTACAAAATGTGTATTAACCTGAATTCTGTGGCGCTGCTGGACTGTTATCCGTCACAGAAGCTGGAGTTACTGTCGTAACTTGTGCGGCTGCAGGTATTTGCAAATTTGACGGTTGAGGTGTCGACTCCGCAGGAGTAGCTCCGACAGGCTTTTTCTAAAAGCATTGTACATATACAGCAGTAAATGAAATAAAATCATAAAAATTCACGTGGTCTCCTAAGTGACATCGTATTTCTTCGCAACAATAATCCAACTAAAAATTTTATTTCTATGATTATGAAAAATCACTGCCAATTCCAACGATGTAATATTTTACAAGTTACACTTTTGTGTACTGCATATATATTACCTGAGTGAATTTTTTATCATAAATTTAAAGAAATCTTCAAGGAAAGATATAAATTGTCCATAAGTGTGAAGTCAAGGTACGACTCGTATTTGATTACTAGATAATTTTGGTAATTTATAGAGAACAAATTAAAAACATCCGGAATGTGATACTCTTGCAATCATAATGACGACAAATTTAGAAGGATCAATCATCACTTCTTCAACCGTCTGCGCATCGTCAAGAACCTAGAAGTAGTTTGAGCTAAACCATTAAAACATTTATAAAAAATCAGTCCATGCATTAATTACCGTTAAATCCAAATTAGAAAAGTAGCGTCATAAGAAAAAAATCTTTCTGAACTTACTTTCCCATTATAGATGAGTTTTTGACATTCGATAGGATATTCCACTTCACCCTTCTCTTCCGCTATTTTTGCTTTCACCTCGCCAATCTGAAATGACACTTTGCAATTAAAATAATAAACATCCATGCCTTCAGTTTCTTGATAATTGTAACAGAGAGTTCAAAATTCATATCTCCGCAAAAATCAAAAAAAATTTGTTATACCTTCGGTAATACTACGTTAGACCAGAAGTATACCTGAAAAAGCTTCCACAATATTCCGTCTTTACGTCCTTCTCTTTAAAGAAAACAAGTAAACAGTATAAATTACGAATTTACAGAGAGATCTACCGTTAAGTGAGGATCCAATTCGATTTCAAAGCTCACTTGTGCAATGGTCTTGAAAGTGATCAACATCACTGTTTTGGAATGACCCTAGAAGATGTTGAAAATTTTTATAAGAAAAATCAACCAAGCTATACACCATGCGCTTTTGAGAGAAGTAATATGTGTAAACAATACCAGACCAAATAAATAAACTTATAAAAAAATAGAAAACCTAATCCGGAAAACTGTAACTGAAAAAAAAAGCCATCACTTTTTCCCTACATTTGAATCTTCATATCAGGGAAATAAGTTGAAAACCTGTCATAATTTCACATTCACTGAACTAGACAAGAAAGGACCATTCATAACTAATAGGATCTTTACTATTCTGCTATCTGTAGTGGCACAACGCCCACAAAAGTAGATACATTTCCTGCAAAAATGTACCTATATAAGAAGAGACTTGTCCGGACATTCGAAGTACTTTTTTTTTTAATCAATGGTTATTTAAATGCATACCGGAGAGTGCTAAGCATTAAATAATCTCCCACAAGACTTAGTTATTTATTCTGATCCACCCGCTATTGCGTCACATGCTAAATTTGCCTTACAAACTTGCCGCTACACTGTTTCCTTTAATTAATCCAATCAACAGTCTACCGATCAAATTTTCCGTGTGAAATTCATGAGATTTATAAGCTTCGACTCTTCCGACAGACCTTTTATAAGCTATAGGACCATGACTGTCAGCTTCCTGAGGATAATAGTGAACCAACCAGATTTGCTTATATCGAACAAAAAAGTACTGTAGCATTTTTAAGGAATTATACAGATCAATCAAGATTTTATTTTGATGCAAAAAAAATCAAGCTAAAAAAGAAGAGATTTAAGACAGTCCTTTGCAATCGACTGAAATAGATAGATGGGATAATAAGCTTATCATTCTCAAAATATACTAAACCATTCAGAATTATTCCGGACATTTCCACAAAATAACGAGAAACATTCTGTTCGAATATTGCAACCCATCGTCGCCTAATAGTTCATGTAGGTAAAATTAACGCCACCAGACATTTACTGGTTACTATGAAAATATGGAGTCCCACGGGTGGTAACTGCTGCTTCTGGAACTTTTAACACGGGTTTTTGTTTCGAAGATATACGAAGTGATTGGTCCTTCATATATAGCAAAAAGAGAATCTGAAAACACTTTGATTGTCAAATAAGTTGTCACTGACTTTCCTGAGATTCCAAATGTGTGAATTCATACTATCTCCGAAGTTAAACTCTCACCATCTCGTCCTC